ATTTCCTCCTTCAGATTTTCCCACCTGTAATCTTCTCCTTAGCACTCGATATATTCTCAATTGATCTTCTCTTTCTAAATCTGATTCGTTTGATAACATCTTCACTACTTCTTCAAAACTGATGCCTTCTTCTTGATCTGAAATCGATCCGGCTGTTCCTTCAATCTCAATAGAAGGTGGACTTGGAATGGTTAATTGTAAATCAGGTGCTTGGGTTTGGTTGATTAATGGACTACTTCGTTTTTCATGTTTACCAGTAGCTTTGTAATCTCTCGTTTCTTCACGTCCTTGTATAATCTGTCTTTCTAATCTCATTCGATTTTCAATCATATGTAACTATAAACCCAAACCCAACATATATATTTGTCAGTGAAAACCTCATTTTGATTCTTCAAGACTCTTTTCACTTACTTTTGGCCAAGTCACTCGTTTTCCCACATCAATCATTCTACCTAATTCTTCTCTACTTGGATCCGATAAAATCCTTAACCAATCCTTAAACGTACTCTTGGGCCAAATCGTAATCGAACCTTCAAATTTTTGTAAAAAGACTGCAGACCAACTTTGACCACCTGATTCTGGAAGTAATTCTAAATCTCTAATAACCTACAGAAAGAAAAAAAAACCCAAGTAAGAAAAAATTAGAAAAAAAAAGGAAAGTGTAGGTTTTTTTATAAAAAAGATGAAAAGGCTTAACTCGAAAGTTTTTGGTTAATTCAATTTTCAAAAGTTGTTCTAATGCACTTAATAAAAACCCACCTCTCCAACCTTTACCACTTCGATGTACAACAGGTGTACCAGGTGCACCACGTGGTTGAAAAAAGAAAATATGTATATGAGGATTGACTTGAGAAACGATTGAAAAACAAGTATTAAAGTACTGTTTTTTGGATGATTTGAAAAAAAATCAACCAAAACAGATCATCAGAAAACAATGACCATTCATTCGATGTCCAATAAAACCAATCCTCACCAAATGTAAACTTTCCAGTGGAACATCCACTCTTAAACTTCCATCTTTATGTTTACCCTGAAACTGCCAAGGTCTTAAACTACCATCTTTAGTTTTCTCAAGTAAGACCACTGGATTCAAAACACCCGGAACAGCAGCTGAAGCCAAGACAGCACTAAAGATCACACAATTAGGTGCTGTGATATAATTCAAAAGTTTCGTAGGTGAATGAATATCAAACTAAATAAAATCATCCAAAAAGAAAACCCCCAACCATATTAATCAAACCGATCTTAAGAATCACTTGATAAATACCTTGACTTAACTGGTATCACAGAGATATTCAAGATCCGTCCAGTTCTTTCATAGGCTTCTAAGAAAGTCATCGAACCCATTGTAAAGAAACTCAACTAACCAAATCCAAAGGAAAAAAAGCCAAAAAAAAAAGAAAAATCCATAAACTACTGAAGAAAATTCTAACAAAAGAGTTCCTCGAGCTTACTTTCTTAGCCCAAGTCACTGTATCATACTGAGCACCAGTACGCCATAATCTTGGAACCCAAGCCTGTTGATTTTTTTGGGGGGCATAAATCGAATCTCAACTCATGTGGATTGTTCAATCAAACAAACTCTTACGTACTGTAATAGGTTCAGAGCAAGCCGTGATCATATCTGCCAACTCAGGTACGATCAATCGATCAAGTTCTTCTTCCGTATGTGTACAAAGGAAAGCAGCAACTACAAATCCCCCCAAAAAAAGAATAAATACTTAGTCAAAATTAAAATCTATTCCAAGAATACGGAAAAGCAAAGGATCATGAAGAAAGTAAGATTTACTTACTAAGTGCTCCTGCAGACGTTCCAGTGACGACTCTAGGAATCAAGCGTACATCCAATAAAGCTCTAATGACTCCAAAATGATCTTTTTGGTTTCCCCCCCCAAATTTCAATCAAAGGATCTTAATCAGTATATATATTCTCATCATAAACCACAAAAAAGGAAAGGATTGAAAAAAAAATGATTTACAATAACCAAAACTAGCACCACCACTAAGACAAAGAGCAGAAGTACCAAAGTTTTTAGTTACTCTTCTAAAAAAAGCACATTTCTCTGATTGAGAAAGATGTGTGGTTTGTCTTAAATAATTTAAACATCTTTCAACTAATTAAAACCCACCAAACGAAACGAAAACACGCACACAGACACATGAAATTGTATTAGTAAATCGAATTGGAATTCTTTTGGTTTCTAAATGATGATTGATGAATGACTTACCTTCTTCTGTGTATACTTCAATAAGAGTTTTAGTACCTAAAAAGAAGATCCAAAATCCAAAACCATCAATCAACTTTGCAAAAAAACTGAAAAAAGAGAATATAATTTGATCTAAAGATCACTCACCAAAATGAGTTTCCGAATAAAGTCTAGAACTTTCAATCCCAGCAAAATTATTCCTAACACAAACTTCCAAAACCGATTTAATTCCATCCGCATCATCTTTTTCTCTCAATTCTCTCAAGTTTTGAATCACTCTTCTAACTAATGGTGCATCATAATAAGCATTTGATGAACTTCTTTTCCATCTATCATATCCCTTAAAACCCCCCAACCCCCCGAAAAAAAAAACACAAATCAATTATAAAGAACCAAAAAAAAGGTGTGGTATGACTTACAAGGTATTCATCTAATGCTAATGCAGTCGATTTCCATTCATTATAATCATTTGCGGTACTTAGTTTTTGTCGAAGTGTACGTTGATGTCCTCTCCCTATATTCGACCAAGAAAACAAAACAATCAATCATGAATTAGAATCGAAACTCAACCAAAATCAAATCCGAAAAAAAAGAAATTGAATTTTACTTGAAATTTTGCTTACATTCAACTAACCATTCAGCTAAATTCACAATCTGTCTTACTAATGCATAAGCCATAAACTCCATGAAAAAAGCAAACCCAATCATTCCCTGATAGCACCCAAACCCACCCCATCGAGGAAAAAAACATTAGAATCTAAGATGATTTTTTTGAGGGTTTTGACTTTTTTTGGACTTACTAAAAGTGGCCATCTAGAAACATGATAAACCCAACCTTCACGAATAATATCATTAGAACGTTTAGGTAATTTCCGATTTAATGTAGATGAAGGATTAGTTGCATGTTGTGATAAAGTAGCGAATTCAGATAAAGCACTAACTCCCCCCCAAAGAAAAACCAAAAATCAAAATTAGTATACTTGGGTTTTTGAAGAGATGGGATTGAACTCAACGTGATGTGTTCTTTTTTTGAATGATCTGAGTGATCTGGATCAAAACTTAAGGCTGATCTGAAAATTTCAATGTCTTCGTCTTTGTACCATCTATACAAACCCAAACCCAAACCCAAAAGAACCCCAACCAAGATCAATCAAATCAGATCAATCAAAGTTTTGGAGATTGATGATAAAAGATTTACTTCATTCCGAATTCAGGTTGAGCCCATGAAGATTGATGATGAGGAGGTGATCGATTGGGATCAATAAGTTCATATGGTCCATAACTATGTTGGTCTTGTTGTTGTGTTTGTTCTTGTTGTGTTTGTTCTTGTTTGTTTTCTTGTATGTTTTCTTGAGGTTCTGATAAAGTATTAGTTGACATAACGAAGCAAAGTGTTCAGAGTTGATTTTCAATTTCCTATTCGATTCGATTCGATTTGACGTTCCGGTCCGATTTCCGATTTCCGATTTCTGATTTCTAATTTCGATGTGTTTTATGTTTTTTTTTGTTACAAATGTTTTTAGTAAAAAGTTAAAGAAATGAGAATTAAGTTTCTAGTGAAATTAGTTAATTCGGGATATGGAAATTTAGAAAATTAATTAATTTATCAAATCTTCGTACTTTCGGCTTATAACTTCTTTCAACTTAAAACTTCTTTTCAACTTTCAGATTGGTCTTTGATTGTCTTTGAGCTTTGTCTTTCAGGTTCCAGGTTCAAGTTTCAATAAATGCTCACTCAAAACTACATTTGAAGGCAACCTTTATAACTTCTCATCCTCCATGTTTCATCAATGATCTCATGTGTCATTTCCAAACTGCTATGCATCTAATCAATCCTACTGTCCTACATACCACTCTCATCTTTTAATTTCGATCAGGAGTTTCAATCGATTAATGATCTACATATTCTCCAAAAGAAATCTTATCTTTCTCCTATCTTTCTTTAAACAAAACCACAAATTCCATTTACTTCATGATGATCTATTGATGAACCCCTTTTTTTCTTTTTACACACTCTGATCACTTTAAATTGATCAATCTTTAAACATTCGCAAAGATCACATTCGTATCAATTCATTCTTCTCAAACACATTATAATCAATTTTAATACCAAGTGTTGTCGAATTAAATTCCTTTAAGAAAAACAAAAGACATGTAATTCATACAATTTGTTTGTTTTTCTTTTGATTTCAATTATTCATATGTATATATGTAAACAAATCAAACCAATCAAAATTTCAAAACTTGATCATCTTTTTCAAATGTAAACCATCTTTTAAACCCAAACCAATCTTCTACTTCTTCTGCTTCTGCTTCTTCTTCTGTTGTTCAACGTCCTTCTCGTTTTCTAGGAGTCGATCTTAAGATATCATCTACCCTAAGGATCATCTCAGCTGCTTCACTTGCAGATAAGACCACTTGTTTCTTCAATTTATACGATTCAAACACTCCTAATTCTTCCATAGATGCAATTCTTGCATTAAACATATCTAACACACAAATGATTCATTCATTAGCAATCAAGTCAAAGAAATCATAAATTCCCAAACCAAATCACTTACCAAGTCCCATATCAGATTGTCCAGCATAATGAGCCGCTCTTAATTGAGAAACCAATTCAGCCGAATCATATCCAGCATTATCAGCCAAGATGGTAGGTAATTGTCTTAAAGCATGACCAAAACTTTCAACCGCAATTGCTTTTTTCCCTTTTGTCAGTTTAGCTTCATCATCTACTGCATTTGCCATCAACATCTCTGCACATCCTCCACCAAACGTGATCCGAGTCTCTTTAACAGTTTGTGAAAGAACTGCTAATGCATCATGTAATGATCTTTCAGCTTCATCGATCATTTGAGCTGTGGCTCCTCGAATCACTACTGTACATGCTTCTCCTGCTGCTACACCTGAGAATTTTAGGAGCTAAGAGAAGGTTTTCGATTCGGATTAGTTAAAATCCGTCACAAGAAAGACTGATTTTGATTCAGTTGAACACTTACTACATCCTCACCAATCATCACTTCTTCAATCCGATCACACTGTCCAAGTTTCACTTGATCAGGTTGATCAAACGTACTGGTGATCTCACCACCCGTCACTAAGGCCAATCGTTCCACTCCTTCAAAATCAGCATGTTCGATACACATGATCCCTGCTTCTGCAAATAAAGATTCAGGGTAATTGTAAACCAACTGTCGATTTACAAAACAATTGATCCCATGTGCTTTGATTTTAGCTACTTTAGCTTTCATCTTTTCCTATATCATCATAAATCATCGAATCAGTTCACTTGAATCTAAATCTAAATCCAAAAAAGAGAAGAAAGAAAACCTTTTCAGCTCGTTCAAGTTCAGCTAGTTTCGATGTTCCATCTACTCGAATCCGAGCACCGAAAATCTTAACCTTATCCGTATCCATAGCTAAAGGAAATCATCAATACAAAGAAATCATGAGAAAGCCGAAACCAACAAAAAAAAGGTGTATTGTAGATCAGGAAGAACATACATGTATTGGCAATTAAGATTTTGGCATTCGTCATGAGTTTTGGACAGTTAGTTCCGATTTTCTTTTCCAAGATAAAACCCTCATCAAGATAAGAATCAGTAAGTTGACCACCAGCTTTTTTAATGATTTGAATATGATCTAAATCAGTAGAACCCTTTGTTTTGTTTCAAAAAAGAAAAAAAAGAAAAAAAATCGAATCAGGAAAGGTTCATATTAACTTTTGTTTTTTTTTCAAATTCATCATTTTTGAAAAAAAGTAAATCACATTCAAGAGAAGATTTGTGTTTTCCTTACTTTAAGTCTTAAAACTGCATCTACGGCTAAATTTGCAAAATATTCTTTATCTGCTGCAAGCACTTTTGACGATAATGTAGTTTTGGCAATATTAATTAAATCTTTTCGAAATGCAACTGGATCTGATCTATCAAAGAAAGAAAAACCCAAGATTAATTCAAAATCTTTTCTTTCTAGAAAGAACCGTTTGAAAATTTCATGAAGAGCTTACGAATGATCTTTAGCATGGGATTCTAAAGTTTTAAGTGCCACTTGACTTGCAATTCTATAACCTTCCACAACAGTTTGAGGATGTATCTAAATCAATTCATCAAACACCACAACATCAACAGGGGGTTTGTTTTCTGGTCATACTAGCCATTCAGCCTTCTTCAAACTTTAACATCTATTTACGTACCCGATTCGTAGTCACAAGTTTCTCCGCTTCCCTTAATAATTCAGCAGCAAGAACACAACAACTAGTAGTACCTATCATCATTCCCGCAAAAAAAAAACAATTCATCAATATTCAGTTAAAGGGGAAAAGATTGGATGGATCGAGTTTTTCCTTTTTTTTTTTTTTTTTTCGAAACTCACCATCTCCAACTTCATCATCTTGAACTTTACTAATATTAACTAAAATCTTAGCAGCTGCATTATCAAGTGGAATACTTTTTAAAATCGTCGCTCCATCATTCGTTACTGTGATATCACCTGTTGTAGTCGAATGTAAAATCTTATTCATTCCTATTAAAAATCCAAAAGTTCTAGTCATCATCATCACGTTTTTTCGATTTTTTTTCTTTTTTTCTGCTACTTGAGAGAGACATCAGAGGTTCTGAAACGAACAAACAAACCTTTGGGTCCTAATGTACTTTTAACTAAATCACCTAATGCTAATGCACCAACAAACGAAGCAAGTCTAGCATTTTCTGCACGTTCTTGTGTTGCTTCATTTGCAAAAATACTGAAACAAACACCAAAAAAAAAACACCCCCAAGTAATAGACAAAAGACAGCATCATGAGTTTATGTTTAACAAAGAGACTATGTGATCGAATGTGACTTACTTCATTTTTGTTGGAATTGGTATTGGATTGATTGGTATGATTGGTATGGTCAAGAAGAAAGATCGAATGGTAAAGTGAATTGGTCAAGAACAAGATCGGTCAACAGGTTCACAAAAATACATTTCATCAATACAAGCATATCTCCATCACTCATCGTAATATGTAATCCTTATACTGAGTGTAAAGCCCGTCACCTGTAGCTTTACGGGTCTCAGGTACTTTGCACTCGACTTTGCACCCAGCTGGAGTCCTTTCAGTTTGTGCTGTTTGTGGGCTCATTTCAAAATTGGCTCTCAATTTCAGCGCAACCCATTATCAAACCAAGAATTTATATCAAAAGTTTGGTTGAAGGCCATAAAGTTTTGAATTTGACTACACATAAAAATAAGTTCTAACTTCTCATCTCTTTTGTGTTTCTTATTAAACTGAATTCCTCACCAAGTCAACATACTTGCAAACTTATCTTCAATATTAATTCGAATGATATATATCGTATCACAAAAAAGAAAACTTATCAATCCAACAAACTAAAACCAAAACTAATTTCCAAACTCTTCAAAAAAGAAATCCAAAGAAAGAAAAACCCTTTGAAAGAGATCTAAAAGAAATTAAATAAATGATTCCTTCTTAGACATTACCATTTCACAGCCGATTCTTTTCCATTAGCGTTCTGCAACCCCACCACCCCAATCCTAATCCTACTCTCATCCAATCCCCCAAGATTTCCAAAACTATTATTACCAATCAAAGAACTAGTGATCCTAGGTGAAGGAGCATTAGCGAAATCTTCTGGCCAAGTAGTATGATGACCTGTTTCTAATGTGTTGAAACTCATCGAACTTGGTTTAGGTGCTCCTCCTTCAGGTTTGACTTTTAAATATACATCAGCTGACCATTCGTACCAAACCTTTCGAGTGGATTGATCGGTTAATCTCCATAAATGAATCTCGATTTCACTTCCTGTTGGTAAATAAATAGGTTCCTATTCCAGTAAAAAACAAAAACAAGTTTAACTTTTAAAAGATCAAACTTGATGAATTTAGTTGATCAGTGTTTAATAAACTCAACTTTGAATGGAAAAAAAATCGGAAACCAAGATAACATTGATTTTGACATTTCTGTTTCAGGTATGGTTTCAATAAAGATTTCATTATATAAAACTGCACGAAAATATCCTGAAAACCCATCACATGAAGTAGCCGAATTGATTTGAAAGGTTAAATGAGCTGATCTTGCATTATGAAAATTCGTAATTGGAATACCTAATTGAATTTTAATTGCAAATTTCAAAACCAAAACCAAAAAACAACTCATTAGTCAAATGATAAAAAAACATCTGTCAATTTTAGAAAAAAAAAACTTTTTCAAAACTCACCACTTTCACGACCAAAAACAAGATCTACACGTGGATGTTCAAATGACCAAGCTTCTTGAACTGGTGCTAATAAGTTAGCTGCATGAGCTAAAACAACATAAGGAGTTTCACATTTTCCAATCTCTTTAACTTTCGAATGAAGTTTACTTGAACTCATCGGTGCCACAAATGCACTATAACTAGCTGGAATCGAAATCCCATCATCTATCAAACCAAAAAGAAAAGAAAAAGAAAAAGAAAACACATCTCAGATCAATCATGTGATTTTGGTTGGTTGATTGAAAGGTTTTGTTTAAAAAGAAGAAGAGTTGGCTAACGAAATACCAACCAGCAAGCCATCGGATCACTCCATCAAGACATTCAGGTGACACTTCATTATCTCCAAAAGATCCTAATAATTCAGATACAAGTATATCGATCGGTTCATTTGGTTTAAACTCTCTCATATCTCCATACCAAAGTTCAACTTCGTCTCCCCATTCATGTGCTTTTCTACTTTGAAGTCTATTCAAATCACCAAAAAAAATTCCAAACCCCTTTTCAATCTTCCATACTACATTACATTATCAACTAAGAAATACTGACGTGATATATGAATTTGGGTTCTTTTCAACTGCTATGATCTTGACTTTTCTAACTGCTCTTCGAGCTGCAACTAATGAAGCTTGTACCAATGGTCCTCTACCTGCTCCACAAACCGCGATATGTCTACCCAATTCAAATCAGTTTTCTATATCTCTGATGTTGTTGAAATCGGTTTGGAATACTCAACTGGACTTGAGTCGAAGGACGATCACTCAAAGCTCTAAAAACTGCCTCTTCATATCTCTCATACTTTACGGGATCTTTCTCAAACCCTTCATAAATACTTGAGTCAAGGTTATCGGCCAAAGGCTACATCCAATCGGATCAGCGTCTTACCATAACTAGATTGATGATAGGTTTTGGGGAAAACAATGACTTACTTGAAGTGGTGATTGTAGGTAATCAAGGTAATTAGATGCATATCGTTCAATCGGATTAGGACCTGGTATCTTTTTTTCTAAAAATTTTATACTGAAAGATTATCCAGGAAATCAAATAAAATGTTTCGAGAAACCCAGTTGAGAAAAATTCCTGAAAAGTTTTCAAAACCAAACAAAAACTCAACTATTGGGCATATGCTGATGGACCTCCTTTTTGATGCTTTCCTTCAGTTGTTTGTGATAAGATAATCGTAGGTCTATACTGTATCATACAATATATCCAATATATATATATATCAGCTCATTCTGTGATTTTGTTTTTATGAAGATAAAAAAAAATTGAAAAAACTCAACTTTGAGAAGACCTTTTAGGAAACTTTGACAAGATTTACTCAACACAGGGTATTGACTGCGTTTTTGTTTTTCGTCAAAAGACAAATCAAATCATAAATTAGCCTGTTTTATTCTCTACAAAGTCATCTAATTTCTTCAATTATAAAAATAGTCACCAACTTTGCATTTGAAATAAACGTAGTGGCTGGCATCCATATGAAACTGATGGGTTCAGCTGCCCATCTTCCAACATTGGAATGCGTGTTTGAAAATCCTGACATTTCCAAAGCTTTGGTTAAAACGAAATTCAATTATACCATCAAAAACAAAAAGGTCAAGTGATTTTCAAATTCGATTAGTAAATTGGCCTGAAAAGAGTGGTGTTTTTTGGATAAATAGATCTAAACAATTTGAGGTTTGACTGAACTGATACTAAGACGAGGATGATGACCACATAGTGTGTAGAGCGTATGCCAGTCTTCCCAAGCTGTAGGACTTGAAATAGGCACGACAACAGAGAACTAAGAGGAAAGGGTAAGAGGCCAAAAAAAAATGTCGGAAGAGATTCGATTTTGGTTGAAAAGTTTGGATGACTCAAGACACCCACCTGAATGGTAGAGCTCAGACCCAGAGTAGCATTGATACCTCGAGCGTAATCTGTTATGAAATTCCGATGACGAAGAGTAGGTAAGATGAGATGACTGAGACCGAGGTAAGTTGCAAAGGCGACTTCTTGTTTCAATGCCTAAGCCAAAGCTTAAGATCGGATCAGTTTGAGAATTGAGAGAGATCAAGAAATTAGATCACATACCAATTCACAATCGAATCGAATCCCTTCGACAGGTGAATCTAATTCTAACCATTCAGCTACAAAACAAAGTAATCTAGGTACATCTGCTGAATTGGTAATATTTAGTTCTGAACTTAAAAATGATCCATCCTTTCTCCAAAGTTCAGCCGTTTCATCCATTGTCTCATCTGTATTTTGTAAGATTGGAGCTAGATCTGATCTTTCGACACACATCTTTTCCCATCTAGTACGCCACTGAGAGTTTGAAAGAGGAATGGAGATCCCATCATATTCTTGTTGGTTGGATAAAGTTGATTTGATGAATGATCGAAGTGCAAGCGTATTCGGATTGTTATCAGTTAAAGGAGCTCGATGATCTGGATGATGAGTTGAAGTTGGATTGGTTTGTTGGATTGGTTTAGTTTGAAGTAAAAGTAATCTTTCTAATTGGTTTTGCGAGAAAGAGATGATCATTGGAGATTGATTTGATTGATATGGTTGTTCAGACCAATGTTGACCAAATGGTTCAGCTTCGACAGTTTGATTGTTATTCATCATCGATGGTCTAGTTCTCTTGATCGTGAATGTGATAGTGATAATAAGTTGGATCGAGATATATGTTGGATGATGATAAATTCAAAATACCCGGTCCTGTCTAGCAACTCTTTCCCGAAGACCACCATCACAATCCGAATGGAATTCATCAATCTCAAAATAATTCCTCACTTCTCTACAATTCAACGATCCATGACAAAATTAAAACTAAACAATCCTGGTAGAAAAAACCAACCGGGGCAGGATCTTGGTGATCTCATATGGAAAACATATATCTGACTTGATTGTTTCTTTAATCAATCTATTGACAACGAGTGTTCCAAGTGTCACGATCCATTATAGAAAACATACAGCCTCGAATCTTTAGTTCTCTCCGATTTCTACTTACTTTGGATTATAGATGCAGCCAAACTTCTAAATTAAAATTTCAAATCATAAGTTAGAGGAAAGAATCAATACTTGTATAAATTCATTGAAAGATATGAATAAAGTCAACAATTTAAAATAAATAATTGAGATGCAAAAAACAAGATGACAAGGTGAGGTCCAAAAAGGATCATTTGGAAAAAAACTAATCAACGAGAAATAATCAAAAGGGAAAAGTATGAAATAGAAATTTAGAGTGAAAAGTTAAGGAAAACGTGCTACATAAGAAAAGAAACATTTCATTTCATTTCACTTCGTTATAAAAAAAATAAGATAAAGAGATAGAGAGAAATAAAGTTCTTGTGAAGGTCACAGAATGTGAAAAAGAATGATAAATCAAAGTTTATGAGGACCGTATTTAGCAACCTAAAAAGATAATCCAAATCAAAAGAGAAAAGAAAAGAATGTCAATGATTTATAAACCGAATCCAAAAAATTAAAACAATTTTCTCCAGAAAAAGAAAAGAAGCTTACATCATCATCAGTCCAAGTATAATCAACAGGAGCGTCAACCATTGTAGCTTGAAGTCCAGAAATCGAACCAACATCTAATTCATATAAACCAGTGAAAGCTGATTTAGTTAAATCAATATGAGGTACACCGGAAGCACAACCACCACAGGAGTCCATGATTCTAACTGTGATTGTTTTGGATGTATCTGAGGCGTGTCTGATTTTAACAAATTGACCACAGGGTGGTTTGTCTGACCACTGTGTTCAATGAAAATGAGTAGGAATAAAAGTTAGATTAAAGGAATAGAGTTGGGTTCGGGTTTCGAGAATTGGATTGTTGACGTACTGCGATTGTTACTGCTCCGACCATGGAGTCATCTGTAGGAGCCCAATCTGATGAAGAAAGACATGAAGGGTAGAGTAAATCGTGACCAGAATACCAAGTAATACTATAAAATCATTGATTTAGAAAAAAATACCAACGGATAAAAAAAGATGTGGATCAAAGTCAATTTCAACTACAACGAAAAAAAGGTAAGGAATGCCTTTAAGAAAGAACTTACACTACACTCATAGCGTTAGATACATGATGTTTTGCCTTCTTGTGAGCCGAAACATAAGAGCTAAGATGTCGACGCATTAAACCCTTGACTTCATTCCAATTCTTAGGTAACAAGAGACTACCACTTTCAGGATTTCTTTCGACTAAGATATGAGATGTATCACGTTGAAAAGCCTGATCACGTTGAATTAATTTGTTGGATGACTCATCAGGTCCTTTCATCATCAAACCAGTTGTGACATCAACCCATTCTTCTCCTGAGTGTTCAGATCTTTTAAAGAAATCTGACAAGCTTGAATATGTGATGTTTTTAGTAGCTTGGGTACTAGAAATGAAAAGGATTGCTGAAAGGACTAAAACTGATGTAAGCTTCATGATTAAGAAGGATTTGTAGGTAAGAAAGAAAAGTCTGAGGAGATGTTTGAACAAAGAAAGATATTGCGAATTGATTGGATTGATTGATCGATTGGTAGAAGAGATTTAGGGTGGATATAATGATAAATGGTTTGTAAGGAAAAAGGTTTGTGTGATGAAGTAGATAGATAGAAGTACTTTAAATATATTTTAAACAAACGATTTTCTACATCTATCAAATCAAAGTTCTAATCCAAGCGTGTTATGTACAGTCATTTAAGAAAAGCTTGCCCTAAATCGCCCGCAAAACTCGAGCGAATTGGCGGGGAATTTGGGGCAAGCTTTTCTTAAATGACTGTATGTATGGAAAATGTGAATTTATCAAGAATCAATTCTTCTTTTGAGTTCAAAACTTCACATGAAGTCATGATCAAAAACTTAATCCTTCTTGAATATGCAGAAACTTGCTCAGAAAAAGCTCAAGATGGACAAAGCGCGAGAGCATTACATCAGTTTTGTTTTTCAAATGTGTATGATCAAAAATGTAAAATGAATGTCGATCGAGTTGAGAAAAATGGCAATTAAGTCTTGAGTTTGGACTTTTTGTATGAACGAAACGTCGGGAGTTGGCTTCCATGATGGTTGACGAGCAAGCTTCCGCCGAGGAGAAGAGAGCATAAAGCGTCATGAATGTCAATTGGGTCACATATGTCAAATATGCATGCACAAAGTTTTTGTAGATGTCCAAGCCAATCCGACTGAAAGGACAAGTTGAATTTGCGACATGAATCACTTTTATGACGATTGGAGGATGGGTTCAAGGAAAGAAGAAAAATGAACACAAGAAGGGTACATCATGAATCAAGTGGTATTTACTACAATTTATGGTACGCCCACATCTTGGATCTTGTGTATGTGCAATATGCAAAAATATTTGGGAGAAGATTCATGATGTAATGATTGACAACACTTTGAATCCTTTCTTGATGAATCTCCTTCCTTTACATGGTAAACACAAAACTCATGTATTCTCCAAGATTATCCAATGTTATTTTTGCTTTACAATCAACTTACATACATCTGTTTTGAAGATAAATGTTCCTGCTGTCATCTTTGAATTTTTATGTTTCATATTCGTGGTTTTCAATCTGGTAGGAAGAGCACAGGAATGGCTGATGACATGGGCTGAGGTTGTATTACATTGCTTGCCTGAAGCCAGCTTCAGCCCTTGATGTCTCCATTTCATCCCAATTGGGATAATTAACCCAGACGGGCAAATTGACAATTGAATGTGGGTATGAAAAAAATCAATTGAAAACAAATGAAGCAACATTCATTTTGGAGACTTTATCACAATTCTTTGGTGATGCTAGGGGCCCTAGCCTCATGGTTGATCAGTTGATTACAATTGGATGATTGATCTAGAGATCAACCAAATCAAGCAGAGCCCACACATGCAGCATCAGCTTTGGATACTGCTTGCAGGTAGCATACTTGTGCACACCCTCCTTGCTTCTTTTTCTGAATCTGGTTTTGCTTTCGCACCACTGTCAATTGGATCTCACTATTCGGCAACCGGTTTAAAAAACCCCGATGCCCGCTTTTTTCAGTACTTTACCCGCGGGTAGCTTACTCGCCTCCGCCAAATTTGGCCGCAGCCGCAGCCCATTCCGGGCACTGGCTACTTTAAGTGCCCGCTTTCCTCCAACAGGGCTTACGTGTATCACATTCGGGCGCTACAGGTCACAACCGGTCACAAACCGGTCACAAACCGGGCATTCTCCACGCACAAACCCAATCCAGCATGATCAAACCGGGCAGTACCATCCCTTCAACCCTTATCTTGCTTCTCCGCCTCTCAACACTTCCCTTTTCGACACTTCTCTCTCTCTTCACCTGGTGGCGCCTCACTATGGCTCTGTCGCAAAGTTTCAACATACCATCGAACCGAACTAGGCTCAAGATGGCAAGTTTTCACTCCACTCCCTTTTCTCTTTTCTTTCTCGTTCGCTCCCTTCCCTCCCTTCCTTCAAAGATACGCCACTGACTTAGGTCCTTGCTCCACAGCCTTCCTACATCGTTCGCTTTACCTCCGATCATCTAATTCTTGTTTACACTTTCTTCGACTATCAAATCATCTTATCGAACGTGAATACTCTACCGATGTCGACTTGGCCTCCTTCGAAAAACTTGGTCCCCAGTCCTACTGCAACAGGGATTGTTAGTCAAAGTCAACTGAAACGGCCACCAGCAATACAACTTACTGATCTATCACCGAATCAATCATCAACACCACATGCCTATGATCAATTTAATCTTTACGTGTACCCACCTCCTCATCCCAACCACTCCCATCACTACTGGAACTCCGGAAACCCCGTCAACAACAACTTTCCAAGGGATGCACCTGGCCACGGATATTGGCCATATACATATATGCCTCAGCCACCACCGTTTCCACCATACCCATCATACCCATACCCACCATACCAATATCAACCGTCTCACTCCGGATATCCATTGCCACCGAGGATACCTCCACGGCCTATCACCAACCCCGACTTATGTCAATCGCACGGCGTCACTTCCATTACTTCTAGTCAGTCAAAAATAGACGCCAAAGCTACTCATGAAGCACCCACACCATCGACAAGTGCCTTGGTTCCACCGTCTGTCACCTTTACAGTCACACCTGACAAGGATCGAGCCTCTGCGGTTGAAAAGCCAGGTCCAGTCACTCAAGATGTTGCTGATGATTTGAATGCAGAAGACGATAAGCTATTGGCAGATCTTCAAGCCGAACGTGATGACGATTGGCCTGCTATTGGTATTTTTCATTTTCTCATCGTGTTCCTATCAATATCATTTGTGCATTCGCTGATGCTTTCATGTTTTGATTGTATTATAGGTGCTGAACCCGTCAGACTTATGCAATCACCAATTTTTGGAAAGGAATTTGTATCCATGGCATGTGGTATTATGTACTTGAATGCGGTAGCTCGACATCAAGGTTATGGACTCTCTATTAAAAGTTATAAAACCGAACATCATCAAAAAGTCAGGACATACTTCAGATGCGCCCTTGGCCGGGAGGTGAATTCTGTAGCAAAGGTTTGAGCTAGTTCTACGAAGATGACCGGCTGCCATTTCGAAGTCTCAATCAACTACCACTCTCGTATTGATCGATGGATTGTACAGAAAGACCAGAAGAAGGAGGAAAAACATCAACATAATCACCCACCTTTTGATCGACCAAACAACTTCTCTAAAAACCGACGATTCACACCGGAAATGTTACGGCAGATTGAACTTCTATCTTCAGCTGGATTGCGCGCTGGGCAGATCCGAGGCCTCCTCAATTTCGAACCAGGCTCCGAACCGCTTGTTCGAGATATCCAGAACGCTATCTATTGGCAAAGAGATGTCTGGTTAAACGGACGAACTCCAATTCAGGGCCTTTTTGATTTGATCACTGATCATAAGTGGGCCTTTCGCACGAGTACCTCTAGCAATGGGACTTTACAATCGCTATTCCTCGCCAGTCCTCAAGGCATCGATATGGCTCGTCGTTTTCCAACCGTCATTGGAATGGATTGCACGTATAAGACAAATCGGTTCAATCTTCCGCTACTCCATATTGTGGGTACCACAAACACTCATAAGACATTCACAGTCGCCTTATGTTTCTTGCACAGCGAAGTGGAGGATCGATACACATGGGCTCTGGAGCAACTAAAATCGGTAGTATTCGATGGAGACTCTGACAACGACAACATCCAACTACCTCAGACGTTCTGCACAGATGCTGAACCCGCCCTTTTCAATGCGATTGGTAAAGTTTTTCCTAGTTCGAGTCATATCTTGTGCATATGGCACATCAACCAAAATATCTCGAAAAATTGCAAGAAGAAGTTGGGATCAAACTGGGATGAGTTCATTAAGTTATGGAATCTATATATTCAAAGCACCACGGCCAAAGAATACAAAGAGAACTTGGAAGCCGTCAAATCTATGGCTCGACGTCACGAGATTTGGGACTACCTGGAGAAGACATGGATCCAACGAGCAAAGAAATTTGTAGCTTTCTACACATCTCAAACACCACACTTTGGCAATTCATCAACTTCCCGACTTGAAGGTGGCCACTTTCGACTGAAGAAGTTTTTAGATGGTAATAATAATGATTTTCTTTCATGTTTCAAAGCTTTCAAGCGTGCAGGAGAATCCCAATATAACGACATCACAACTTTGACTGGGGTTGAGAGCCAAAAAACATTGCTTGGTATGCCGGACAGCTTTCAGGAAATGAATCGGGTAATCTCACATTTTGCTCTCACAAAAATTAAGTCTCAATATGATCGTCTAGCGGCCTCCGACAACAAGGAGTGTACTCGGACCTTCCGAGGCGTTTGGGGTTTGCCTTGCTCGCACGAGCTTGCTCGCGCTCTGGTGGAAACGAACTTGATTTCTCCTAGCCTGGTCCACCTTCAATGGCATATGTCGCTAGTGGCCCCTCCAGCCAGCCACGAGGATCTCAAGACGGCAGTTCGATGTAGGATTGAGCGACTGCTTCAATACGACGAACACTCACTCCGTAAGATCTACGAAGAACTCGCTAAGCTTGAGACCGGTCGATTTTCGCTGGTTCCAATAACCAATGCAGTAGTCAGAAATCATAATCGAGGCAGACCTCGTAACCAGTCAAAAAAAAGAGGAACTAATTCAAAAGTAGGCCGATGGAAGTCTGATCATGAACTGGAAGAAGAAGAAGAAGCCAGAGCTGCCAAAAAGGCTCGAGGCCCTAATTGCAGTTACTGTTCACAGACCGGCCACAACCGAACAACATGCTCAACTCGACTCGCCGATGAAGAAGGTATCGATGTACATGAATTGGATATGATCGAAAACGAAATTGATGAAGAACAGGAAGACTTCAATAATCCGGAAGAAGAAGTCTTAGAACTACCAACCGAATTATCTCTCTTATCAGTTTCCCCAAAGCTAGGTCAAGCTTCCTCATCTCGTCAAAAGATTGGAGCTAGACACTCTCAGTTGCGAGAGTCTCAAACTAAGTCATCTGAGGTACGTTTGATTTGACTTTTATATCCCTTGCTTTCATGAGCTCCTCCTCGGAGGTGGATGGTTGTTCAGTATCTTTGAATTGGAGACTGAAGTTGCCCAAGATAACTGGATCTGTTCCAAAGGTGGGAAGAACCGTAGTCTTGGGCAGCTTCACACTCCTATTCAAAGGGATTGATCGATGGTTGATTACTCACATATCAAGCTACAGAAACTGATTTAGAATTGTTATTCAACTTCTTGTTTACGTATCTCTCAAAAGCCTCAAGCTACATGTTCATTGCAAGATTCTCAACCTAGGTTGGCCGGTACCAATCATGTTTCATTCGATTTGGAGGTTGCTCGAAAACCGAAAACTTCAACTGCTTTACCTGTGTCTCAACAGCCTCGATTATCTACTTGTCCAGTGGCTCAAAAAACTAGCAAACCTGCTCCACCTCCAGTTCACCCGAACTCTCAAGTATCCCAAGCTTTGAGTTCTCAAAAATATGAAGGTATCAAGAGTTCTGATTGTGCGCAACCAGACTCTGATTGTGCAAAGGCTAAGCGCATATACAAATGCAGTATTTGCAAACAGCCGAAATGTCGCGCCAATCGATGTCCCCTGAAGGGACTGGCATCTGCACCTGCAGATCCGATCACCACCGTCATACCTAAATGTCAAACTCCCAATCTGGAACCAAAGCCGAGTATTACCGAGGATATTTTGCAACCAGAGAATATATCAGACACCAGTAGCTCAGACACGAGTAGCTCAGACTCCATCAGCCTCAACCGACTGGGGTCTGACACAGATCCTGATAAACTGTGTCCGTGGTGTGAAGAACCTTTGCCATCTTCTCCTTCGGAGAAACTTGAGAGGATGAAAGCCTCCCTACTCGCTTTGCCAGATGCTATGTCTTTACCGGTGAGTGTTCTCTCTTTTTGTTGTCTTTGTATTACCTCTTGGCTTATAGGTGGTCTATATTGTAGTTCCCGCAAACAGCAATTTTTTGTGATCTTCATGTGGCGGAGCGGGATGTGATACCCTTTGGAAAACGTGAGGGATGGCCAATGCATATCAACTTTGACGCATTACCACAGTAAGCAGCAATTATTTACATAACAATTTGTTTTCATTGGACTGACAGCAATCCATATCATCATAGGCGCATCCGGAAGCATGCAGATCATCTTTACAAGATTATTGAGCGACAAACGCCCTCCATTTTTCTTGACGAGGCCAAAAGCCAATTGAAAACTCAGGGAAAGTATTTGTTTACTATCAGTGGTGATTATGCGGGTTTTGAGGTTGAGCAGCCCGGGTAGTGAGTGTTCACGTTTTTTTACATGTCCTAGATATTGACATCGCACACTTGTAGTTGTTGTTCTAACCGGTGATTTTATTCCAGCTACGGCCTGACAGGTTTTGAGGTTATGATCGATACCTTGACCGACATTTTCTTGTCTGCGGCTTCGGAGAATCCACTAGATGTCAACAATTCATCACCTTTTCCAACAGATTACTTCATTCGGCGTATACTGGTACCAGAAGTCAGCTTATTGCTTATCGCAGAAGCTTTGGACTTGCCTTCCAGCGATCCAAAAGTCAAGGATACACTAGAGGCTAGTCGAGCCTTTGGACGCGCGGTATTCTCAAATTCAGAAGACAGTGTTATAGATCTAGAGGACACCAACACGGTTTC